TTTAGTCATTTGTAATGTGATCATAATTAACAGTTTTATAATATCCCATTTGTTATCTTAAGTGATATATAGAACTATCCCTGTATAAAAATAGTTAAGATGAAACTCATTTATATCAGATCTATATTGTTACATTTTATGGACTAGTGCTGTAATCCAAAAAAAGGAAAAAAAAGGATCTTCAAAAGTGGTTGCAAATGCCTTTGCAACCACTTTTTTTATATGATGTAATTATATTTAGTTCTTATTACATTTTCAGAATAATAATAAACAATACAATGTAAAAAATTGGGACAAACATACACAATAAAATACTTTTGGTTTTATTAAAAAGTTGTAAATTTATTATATTGTAACATTAGAACTTCAACTTTCTTCTCCTTGAAAGCAGATAATCATTTTCATTCACATTAAACTCACTTCCTAAAGGTACATTTCTGCATTTACTTTCTGCATTTACATAATCTTGTAGCATTTTGACAGCAAGTTTTCTAGAAGTTGGCCAGCAAAAACATATTTCAGTGTCATATTCCCAGAAAAACTCCCAATAGTTGTTGAGATCAGTTAAGAGTGATAATACATTGTTATTAGAATAATGGTTAGCTATGAGGAGCTGAGCTTGTGTTTGAAACCTTGCATTTTGTTTCACCTGTTCTTTCTTTTTCAATTCTATACATCAGGAAACTTTTCCCGCCATAAATTTACATAATATTATGGGGCCCGCCATAAACTTACATAAATAGTGTAATATTATGCAAAAATTGCACAAAAATTATGCAATTATTACATTCAGTGTAAATATTACATCCTTTTTATGTGAAATATTATGTCATTTCATATTAAAACTTACGGATGTAAACTTGTGTCAGAAAAAATTTCCTGATGTAGTTATTCTAATCCCAGAAGCCTCTTGTCCATAAGCAACTGAATACCCTTTATCAAGAATTGCAATATCAGTTGTACCTTTCAAATCAAAAGGTAGCCATGATTGGTCCACCACATTGAGAAAACTCACATTGCTTCTAGCATCATACCACTCAAAATCAAGTGGCAAAGTTATTATCTGATATAAATGTGCCATGTATTTATTGTGTTGTTTATTCTCAGCGATATCATAGTTCCAACTGAAAGAATTAATTTCACTTGTATCATCTTCAAGAAAAGAGCAATCCGTCACTACAAATTTGAGTTTTAATGTATCTTTGATCTTATTCATCTGTTGGGTTCCAAGACTTGAGATAGGTATAGACTGGTTTTTTTTTAAATTCATTTTCCAATTTTTCTAACCTCTGTGAGAACCCTAGAGTAAAAAAATTTAGTTAGTTTCAGCTATTATGTATGAAACCAAATTAGTATAGTATTTACAGTCCAAATATTATGGTCAAAACAATTTTTCTATTCATATTATGTATAATTATAATTTGTATAGATTGAAGTAGTTACCAGCTAGGGGATAGACAAAATCAACATTTTTACCAACAGAGTCATTATTTATACCAATAGAATTAATCCTTCCATTTGTTATGTCTTATTTAAAAATAAAAACATGTAAATTCATTTGGATTGACAAAAAAAAAGGAGCAAGACTCAACTTACTAGAAATATCAGTACAAGAATAATCATCAAGTTGCAATTTTAATAATCTGTTTTCCCTTTTAAGTTTGATTACAAGATCTTGTAAATGAGATATATCATTATAATTCGAATCTTTGTTTTCCTATAAGTTGGGAGTTGTATTGATGTCAAACAAAATCCAGTTCCGTTAATACTCCTGTCCATTGAAAGAATATAAATTTTACTTATTACTTACTTTTCTTGGAGATAAGGTTGTGGGCGAAACCTCCTTAGTAATTGCTGAAACCACGGCAAAACTATATTAAATCTTATCAAAAATCCTGTTGAAACTATGCCGAAATGGCGAAACCTCAAAATGCGAAACTCTGCCGAAACTCTAATAAACAATTAATGTGTAACCTGCCGAAACCCTGCTGATTGATTTCTGTATGAGTTTTGGCAAGCAACCTTAATTCAGAGCAGGGTTGGTGGCCCTGAAATTGCATTTGGACTCTGATGTTAGTAAAATAAAATGGTTCGGATTTTGTTTGATATGTTTTGTATAAATTAATCATTCCCAAATTTTCTGTTTCTTTAATTTTTATTTGATCAACTGAATTTGTTATTTTTTAAATGGGAGCTTTTGCCCATATAATCCACCCTAGGTTAAAAGGAGTGTAGCTTGATGAGATTGTGTATCTTACAAGTATAAGGGTGGCAGTTCAATTCTGCCCACTCCTATTGTGATGGTCTTCATGATCACTGGCATCAAGGAGAAAGCTGTCAAATAAAATGGTTCAGGTTTTGCTTGGTATGTTATGCATAAATTAATTATTTTCATAAATGTTCTGTTTTTTGGTGATTTTTTATTTGACCAACTGAATTTGTTTTTTAATGGGAGTGGGGCTATTGTGAGCAGGTATGCCACCAACAAAACAGCAACCCAGGACTCAAAACTTGGAATTCAGGGAAATCAAAAACAACAACTCAAGTTGCAATCTCCCAAGTTGCAGATACCAACTTTATTCTAGAGAGGTATATCACACAGATGCCAACTCTTGTCAATGATCAATGCTCATATGGTAACAGTCAAGCCTGGTCTGAGAGGAAGATGTGGAAAGTTTTTGTCCAAAGCCTTCCAACAGAGGGCACCCTTACCTGTGGAAAAAAAATCTACAGTTATGAGGCGTGCTTAATTGCACCCAAACTCGTGTTGGTGATAGAAAATTTTTAATTAAATCTGACACCTGTGATCAACATCAGATTTATTATTCATTCTTGTGAACCCAGAGGTCTGCATTATTAAAAGTTTCATTTTCTGCATGACCTTGGTAGTATTTATTACTTGGGTGATGCAATTATTTGTTATGTCAATTACAACATAAAAATGTATTGAATAACCAGGTATTCATGTACAAGTATTAATAACAACCAAAAAGTTAAGTCATGTCTATTTTTTATCTATATAAATAGAGTAGAGTAGCAAGCAACAGGTTAATAATCACCACCACCTTTTTAATATACAAAAAAAAATAACAACAAATATTATTTAATTCTAAGCAAATTTTTATTGTTTTTATATGGGTCAGTTCTATATATCATTCAAGATAGAAAATGGGATATTATAAAACTGTTAATTATAATCATGTACAAATGACTAAATTTTAATCCCTGAAATTCTGGTAATACGTACCAATGTTCACTTTGTCTGGTTTTGTTGCATATAATCCGTCCCTTGTGATTATTACCTTTTTTGGTTAAATATAAATAATCTAAATTTGGGTAAATTATCGCGTAATCGTTGGGAGACCCTTAATAACATGATGTATAACAATTTTAATAATCCTGTTACAACCACTTTCTAATACGAATGATTGGGCTTAAGACGAAGAAGCGTGTTATAATAAACCTGAGTAAATTGTGATATATAAATTATTTTTATTATCAAAGTTATGGGGTAAAAAATCAGATAGATTTTTTATGACAAGCAATCCTTTAATTTTAGTAATTTACATTTGACAATGTTAATGCGACTAAGTCATGCAACTTTTGTCAAAGATGCCCCAGAACTGGTGGTAATGATAAATATATTACCTTTATGAGATGTTGTATTATCTACCTAATGGAGAGCCTCACAAATGCATTTAGAAAACGGAAGGCAAAAAAAGGAATTGAGATGTTTTTAAGAGAATTTGTACGTAACTAATTGAAAACTTGTTCCTTTTGTTCTTCTTTTATTCGTCATGGTTTATAAAGTTATAATATTTTTTCTTAAAATTTCAGATTTTATTTGAACATTTTCAAAAAATATACATGAAGAGATTGCGATTATTCACTTAACTGTTAAAGGTTTTGAAAAACTGTTTTAAAAGCACTTGATTCAATAACACCTTTAGAACAGACTAGAAATATGCCTGATGCTCTTGTAGATTGATGATTGTAGAAAAGAATTCAGGCATTGTATGCTGTTAAAAAGGATAAGTTTTTTGGAATTAATGAATAAATATATTAGTGAATACTTGACAATTTATTTTAACCAACCACATATCGTTTCAATCACGTGTACTATGATAATCTGTATTTTGTATGGCGCGGACGAGGTTCTTTAAGAATGGCTTTATGTTCTTTAGAATATTCTTGGAAAAGCTTTGGGTTAGTTTAGTTGAAGTAAATTCTATTACAATTACAATTGAAATAATTTATTTTATTATTATAATTACTATTAATATTACGTAAAAAAGGCAATATTTTGCTCTTACTATTATTATATAATATTCTTTACTATTAATATCATTGGTGTTAAACCTGTTATTTTTTTCATTTGAATACGGCGGCATTATCATATGTAAGTATACTTAATTATTATTAATAGAAACATTTTAAAATTTTTTAAAAAATTTTGTTGGTAAAATTAAATAGATCCATTAAAAATTTACCTCGCTTTACAATTCTTGTTAAAAACAACTAACTCAACAATTATTCTCTCTTCGACTTATTTCGTAACATTGTACTAGCTACATCAGTTAACGAATGATCAGCATGTGAAAAATAAACAAACAAACAAACGACTTTATTTAAAAATAATAAGAAAGAAATCTGATCTCCTTTTTTTAATAGTAATAATGTAATGTAATAATAAATAAATAATAAAATAACAATTGAATTAATTAAATTAATGAATGTAATAATATTATTATTAATAATAAATAAAAATTAATTTGTTATCAAAAAAATTTAAGATTAAATTAAAAAAATTAATTTTGAAGAAAAGATTTAACTTTGTGCCCTTCTTCATCAAATTATTCCTGTAATGGAAAGCTTTAAACGTGTGTGTGTTTGTCTCCCCCTTTATTATTTTTAGTAACGATCTGTGCGCAGATTCTTTTTGTAATTATTTTTTGATCGTAAAACTGGAAACCCAAAATAAATTGCAGAATTTTTTGTGCACACACTAGTTTTTATTTATAATTTATAATCAATCATTATAAATTTGTTATATTTTCAGATATCAGATATTTATTTCAAAAAAAAAATTTTTTCTTCTTTAGTACTGTTATTATTAATAGGTAAAGAATTTATTGATTGAAAATTTTAAAGATTTTTTATATTATTTCATTATAAATAATATATATATTGTGTATACGCGTGTAATTGAATATTTTAGGATTTTTGTTTTGTGCGCAGTCATCAATCAAACCTTATCAATTCTTCCCTTGTATTTTATTTCATATTTTTACAAAAACAAAAAAAAAACAAAAAAACATCAGAAATATCAGAAATATACTTTTAAATATACATTATACAGCATATTTCAATAACGTCTTTTTCACTCGGGGAAAAAATTAATTTTTGTCGTGTAATAATAAGTAGTAAGTTATTATTATTGTTATTGCAAAATTTTTTTGCTTCAGTCACGTTCACATTTTACAATCATGTTCAAACCTTAGTTTTTTAAACATAAATTGTCACTTATATTCAAGTTCAAATTTTCACACTTTAATAACTTTGACTTTTTTTGCCTTCCATTTTGATAGTTGTTTTGACAGAATGGAATCAATAGGAAGTAGTTTTTTTAGCTTCCCTTCAAAAACAAATTTATTGACAGCAAATAATCTCTTTACCAAGGATCTTTTTTATAATAACAATAATATTGATAATGGCAATGATTTCAACAAATTTAAACAACCAGGGTTGTTTACCTATTATTTAGATCAAAAACAATTTAATAACAATAATGATGATAATAATAGAATTGCAGAAGGAAGTTCTTCTAATACTGGTACTACTACGTCTACCCTTATGACCAGATTATCATCATCATCATCATCATCACGCAACTTTAATTCTGATGTGGCGACACAAGAAAATTTAATAATTGATGATATCACCTTTCGTCGTCCTGATACTTGTTTAGCTTTGGACAATCTAATAACTTCCTCTACCACTACCAAAAACACCGCCATACTATTTGATCCTTTCAAGAACAATGATTACGATGATACCTTTGATTTCCCATTTAAAGATGAAGAAGATTTTGGTACAACTGTTGCACAACTGTATAACATCAACATTAACAATAATAACAATAAAAATAATCACCATCATACAACTTCTCCTCGTGTCTCTCCTAAATTTTTCTTCGGTACTTCTAAATTTGATCCATTCAAGGATGATGTCATTGATAATAATACTACAAAACCAAATGTGATCATTTTTGATCATCCATTAAACGACGAGGTAGCAAATGATGACATCAGTTCAACAAACGTCACCGCTGTTCATTTAAACAACAACAATGAACTTTCTTCCTCTTTTTCTTCTTCTACTCATCATATCTCTCCCAAGGATAATACTCTTGATCCATTCAGCGAACCTACTGCTGCACTTGACAGAAATAAAGATGATACATCATCACAATCAATCAACATCAACGTAAATAACAATCAATCAGCATCTTCTAATGTTAACGACAAATATTCGGGTGACGTTTCTCATTTAAACCAATTAAATAACAATCCCCAATCGATCATCAATTCAAGCAGCTTGAACAATGAACTTCCTCTTACTCCACTTTGTAAATACTTTCAACGAGGTTACTGCGCAAAAGGCGATCGCTGTCAATATTTGCACAAGTTTGAATCATATAGCAGCTCTGTTAATCATAATAAAATTAATAATGGAAATGGTAAAAATCTTGGTTACACATCATCATCATCATCTTCGCCGTCTTCTTCTTCTTCTAATCACTTTCCAGCATCATCGCAACAACAACTAAATTCTTATGTTAACCACCAATTCTATCCGACAATTAATAACACTTTGTCACTTCTAAATCAGACCACAAACAATTCATATAATTCTAGTAGTGTCATTAATAATAATAACAATAACCTTGTCAGCAATGTTGGTTCTAACCTTAACTCATCAACTAATACAAACGATAATATATCTCTACCTGTTGTCATCAATCATAATAATAGCAACAAAGTCAACAATTCTTATATTCAAAAATATTCTCAACATCATAGTCATACTTTTAATACTATAGATCATCCAATCAATCAAATTAGCACAACCAACAATTCAATCAATCATTTAAATGCCACCGATTTATTTAATCGAACTGATGCAACCACAAATTCTTTAGTTACCAAAAATAGCAAAAATACTACTAGAACAGCCTCACACAATAACAATAATAAAAATAAGAAAAAATTTGTTAATAATAATGAAGGTATGATTTATCTTTTATAAAAAAATCAAATCTGTTATTATTAATTTTAAAATAAATAATAAATAAACAATTAATTGATTGATTTTTCTATGCATTTGTATGTAGCCAACAATAGATTTTCTGGTGTTGAATTAGAGGATCTTGTGGGTCATATTTATTCATTATGTAAAGATCAACACGGTTGTCGTTTTCTTCAAAGAAAACTTGAAGAAAACAATCAAAAATACATTGAAACGATTTACAATGAAGTCAATGGACATTTCATTGAACTTATAACAGGTAAATCGATTGCTTTTGGTCAATTATACAAAATATTTTTTACTGAAAACTAATGCTAATAATAATAACAACAATAGATCCTTTTGGCAATTATCTCTGTCAAAAACTTTTTGAACATTGTGATGAATTTAAACGTACTCAAATTATCAATAAAGTTTCTTCAGAATTGGTAAACATTTCATTAAATGTACACGGTACTCGTGCGGTCCAAAAAATGATTGAACTTGTCACAGAGAATAAACATGTAATATTTAATATTTTATTTTGCTTTATTTATAATCTTAAAATGAATCATTTATTAATTCTTTAATTATTTTTTTAGGGCTATAATAATAATTACATATACAAGACTCAACAAATCCGTACTTTTATCCAATCTTTAAATCCTGAAGTAGTAACTTTGATTCAAGACTTGAATGGAAATCATGTTATACAAAAATGTTTAAGACTTTTCACACCCGAAGAAAATCAAGCAAGTAAAACATTTATAAAACATATATATTATAATTATTTTACTAATTAAATTTTTTTTTTAAATAGTTCATTTATAATGCAGTCAGCAATTATTGTCTTGAGGTTGCTACACATAAAAATGGCTGCTGTGTTTTTCAAAGATGCATTGATCATGGCACCGAACAACAAAAGTTACAACTCTTGAAAACAATAATTCACCATGCTTTATTCTTAAGTCAGGTATGTTGGGAATGATTAATCAGCATTTAAATTTTTTTACAAAAATTAAACTTTTATTAAAAGTTTGCATCAACATAATAAACATATATACAATTAATCCCCTCTCTCAAAATTCTAGGATAAATACGGGAATTATGTTGTTCAATACGCCATAAATTTCAATATCCAACAATTCACTAATGCGTTAGCGAGAAAAATTTTAGGGCATGTTTATCCATTATCAATTCAGCAATGCAGCTCAAATGTTGTTGAAGCAGTAAGCAAATCAATCGATCAATCAATCAATATATAAATATAATTAATTGATTAATTAACACTAATCACTTTCTCTTAATTATTAGTGTATTAAGTTGGCTGACAATGATATTAAAGAACTTTTGATTTCAGAATTAATTAATTGTCGTTGTATTGACAGATTATTGCAAGATTCATTTGGGAATTATGTGATTCAAACTGCCTTGTCAAATGCTAGCTTCGACCAAAAGGCAGAGGTATTTATTTATTGTTTATTTATATAATTTTTTTTAAGTTATAAATAGTTTTTGTTGTTGCCATCATCTAATGAAATTAATTAATTAATATTGTTATAACTTATAGTTGATCAAATCTTTACAGCCATTTTTACCTACAATCCATAATGCACCATATGGAAGAAAAGTTCAAGGCAGGATCAGTCGTGATATTAAATTCCTTGGGTCACTACTATATTTTAAAAATTTTAATTAAATTTATAAAAAGACTAGTTTCATATATATTTATAATATAAACATACAAACAAAATCATTATCACAAAAAACCATTATATCACAACATCAAAAATCATCTTTGTAGTATGTTATTAATGTTTGTAATATTATACTAATAACAGTAGTAATAGTAATAATGTTAGTAATAGTAATAAAGTGGTAGTAATATTATTTATTAATATTAATATTATTTTTATTGATGTATTATGTATTTTTTATAGATTAATAATTAAAAAATCAAGAGATTTAATTTTTATAAAATTTTTTAATTTCTTTCCTAAAAGTCAAATATTATTATTATCTTTCTTTGGTATTAGGGGTAAAATGTTAGGTGGAAAAACTAATGAATAAAAAATCAATAGGTGGCTGCGTAACTCAAATGAGCACTTGGCTAACTGACCAAACTATTTAGGTTTTTAACCCCTTTACGCTGCCAGCTCTGATTTAGACATAAAGGAAAAATTACACTGTGTAGCTTCCGGGACGCCATCACGCAGCAAGGCGATAAACATTTGAACGCACGAATAAAATTTCGCCACCAAATAAAATATTATATACAGAAAGGTTCTTTTTATGGAATATACAGGACCTACTAAAAATGGCAACTCATTCTACAAATAAGACAACTAAATTGTAGCTAAAAACCACATAACATTTATCAATTATGTGATGATTAAATTAATCCATATATAAAATAAAATGAAATCATAATCAACAAATACTCTTGATTAGAGGATGTTGTTTCCAAGTTAATTTGCTCAATTCCTGATCAATACTTCCAAGTGAGCTCCTGAAGCTAGCCGAAAAATTCTGTTTATAAATCGGAGGAAAAGCTGGTGAAAAAAAGGCAAAATACCAAGGTTTCCATACAGTCAATACCGTGGCATGAGCATCATGTCTTTACAGGTCAGAGATACTGGCTTAAAAATATCAGGAATATATAAACTTACAGATTTATTGCAATATCATATAGAACCTACGAGCGTAATAATTACAACGAGGCACAATAATTGTGCAAATTGCTCCCGAAAAATTCCTGATAGCAGTGCTGGCGACCTTCACCCAAAGGAAGTTATTCAGAACTCACTATATTAATATTGTCGCCCTAATATATAGATAAACCGTTTTTTACTACCAGATAAACTATAGTTGAATGCATCCGGGAAACAAAAACTAGGTCACAATATACGTATCTTACACAATAATAATAACCTGAAAACGGAGGATTTGCGTAGAATATACTAGTACATTTATCACACGTTTTTGCGTATTTTTCTATGTAGATTATTGACAAAAACAGGGATTATGTACTGTGCGGATAATTTGCATATTTTTATTGTTTTCCTGATGCGTAACTACAATAAAAGTGCGTAATATTAATGTATTTTACAGGACAAATAAAACGTTTGATAAGCACAGATTGAAACATGGTCCTGACTGATAGAAGCCTGATTTTATCATCAGAACAACAAACCCAAATAAGTACATGAACTGAAATCAAACCAACAAATACAAAAAAAGTTATTGATCAATAAGAAAAGTGAGCGAGTGAATGATAAATATGATAAATCAATCAAAGAAATTGAAACTTGATATTGAAAATAATTGTTTCTAATATTATAATAAATAATAATCAATATCGATTAATTTTCAACAAAAAAAGATAAGATAGAAAGATGCGAGATAGATAAAAGTTGTAATTACTTGCAAGTGAACAAGATAGTGCCCAAGAATAAGGTAAAGAAAGTTGAATGAATCGAATTAATACGCATATATTGATAGAGATGATAATGATTAATATAGTAAATATAAATTTTATTAATGTGATTATTTAGTCCAATAATTTTTTTATGTTTAGCATGAAACATCAATGAAACTTTTTAATTAATTAATCTAATGGGTAAAGGATTAGATTGATTTAATTTGTTACACGTGTATTAGTAATTGATTACTATTGATATCGATATCTCTTGCAATATTAATTATTCAACCTATTTAGGTTATATTAAGCCATGATTAAAACAAATCATTTTCTTTTATAAGTCAACTTTTTTCTCAAATTTCCAAGAAAAAAAAAAAATCTTTAAATAAAAAATCATTTTTTCTTCTTTAAAACATTTTTTTTACGTGACAAAATTCAATCGACAAAATGACTGTGTAAGTAGTAGTATCTTCTTGATGATTAATTATAATTGATTGATTGATTGATTATTTATCTTTAATGAAATTATTTAATGATAGAGGTGACTTTGGTCTTATTGGTCTTGCGGTTATGGTAAAATATTTTCTTTTTAAAAAAAATATCAAATCATCTTTTCGTATTCACTTGATCAAATTAATTAATTATGTATGTATATATATATATTTTTTTCACAAGGGCCAAAACCTTATTCTTAACATAGCTGACAACGGATTCACAGTTGTTGCGTACAACAGAACTGTTGAAAAAGTAGATCATTTCTTAGAAAATGAAGCTAAAGGTATCCATCCATCCATCATTAATTATATTACAATCAATTAATCAATCAATCAAAAAAATCAATCTATTTTATAATGTGTATGTGATTTAGGAAAAAATGTTGTTGGTGCTCGCTCCATTAAAGAACTTGCTCAGAAGCTAAAGAAGCCAAGAAAAATCATGCTTTTGGTTAAAGCTGGTCAAGCTGTTGATGATTTTATTGACCAATTACTTCCTTATCTTGAAGAAAATGATATTATTATTGACGGTGGTAATTCTCATTATCCTGATAGTATTCGTAGATGTAAATATTTAGAAGAAAAGGGATTATTGTTTGTTGGTTGCGGTGTATCCGGTGGTGAAGATGGTGCTCGTTATGGTCCATCTCTTATGCCTGGAGGTTCTAAAGCTGCATGGTAAAAATTTAATAAATAAATATACTTTTTATTTATTTATTTATTGTTTGTTTGTTTATTATATTAATCTGTTGATTTATTTTTCATTTTGCTTTTTTATTTGTTTCTTTAAAAAATACACGATCATTTTTTTCCTAGGAAACATCTGCAGCCAATATTCCAATCTATAGCGGCCAAAGTTGGTAATGAACCATGTTGTGATTGGGTTGGTGAAACAGGTGCAGGCCATTATGTTAAAATGGTTCATAATGGCATTGAGTATGGTGATATGCAACTTATTTGTGAAGCATATCATTTGATGAAGGAAGGAATTGGTCTCACAAATGATCAAATTGGCGATGTGTTTGAGGAGTGGAATAAAGGTGAATTGGATTCATTTTTGATTGAAATCACTAAAGATATTGTCAGATATAAAGATAACGACGGTATTCCTCTAGTGGAGAAAATTAGAGACACTGCAGGCCAAGTATGAAATCATTCTTTATTCATACATTTATACACACATTCACACGCACACACACATAATTTAACATAAAATTTTTCTTTTGGAAACTATACAGAAAGGTACCGGAAAATGGACAGCAATAAATGCACTTGATCTTGGAATGCCGCTTACACTCATAGGTGAAGCTGTATTTGCTCGCACACTTTCAGCTTTGAAGAGTGAACGTGTACGTGCGAGCACAATTTTAAAAGGACCTCAAAATGTTACTTTCTCTGGTAACAAAAGAGATTTTATCAAACAAATAGGTCAAGCTTTATATGCTTCCAAATTGATTTCATATGCTCAAGGATTTATGCTTATGCGTGAAGCTGCAAAAGAATATAAGTGGGATTTAAATTATGCTGGTATTGCTTTGATGTGGCGTGGTGGTTGTATCATTCGTAGGTTAGTTACTTGATTTATTTTCTTTCAAAAATACAAGAGTCAGCAGTTACTAAAATAAGCCTATTTCATAGTGCTTTCTTGGGCGATATTAAAAACGCATACATCAATAATCCACATCTTGAAAATCTTCTTTTTGATCCATTCTTTAAGAATGCTATTGAAAGCGCACAAAGTTCATGGCGTAAAGTCATTTCAGAAGCTGTTTTAATTGGCATTCCTACTCCTGCATTCGCATCGGCTCTTTCATTTTATGATGGTTATAGACATGAAAAATTACCTGCTGGTCTACTTCAAGGAATGCGAGATTATTTTGGGTTTGTATATAGTCATTAATTAAACCTTTTTTTCGTTTGAAAAAAAAATTTTTTTTTCAATAGTTAATGATTATGATTTTTTTGGGGGTGAATTCAATTAGTGCACATACCTTCAGATATCTTGATGAATACACTGATGAAAAACATCCTAAAGATAAAGATGTTCACGTTAATTGGACTGGTCATGGTGGAAACGTTAGCGCTTCCTCTTATCTTGCCTAATAATCAATCTTAATTTTTTGTGTAAAATTAATTTATTATTTATTTATTTTATGTTTATAGTTTTTTTCATAAATATCATATTTAAATGTAAGCAACATTAAGACAATTTTCGAAAAAAAAGGAAATTTTTTGAGGTTTATTTATTATTTATTATTATTAAAAAAAAAAATAAAAAGAGAATTGTCCATCTTTGCCATTTTAATACCATTTTAATACCATTAAAAATTCCATCATCATCAAATAAAGCTTCAGACAAAGTTTGTCATTTATCATTAAAGAGAAGTCGTGAGATATCAAAATATAGTAGATTACAAACTAATAAATTAAATAGTGGCAATTTTTCGTGCAAATATTTTAAATCCAAATATTGTCATTGAAAAATCAAGACTAAGTTACGAATAGAAACTCTACTCCATATCAATATATGGACGTATCCATTACAATGTTTGATATAACAATAAATTGCATCGCTCATGTAATAATCATACGAAACCATGCGACATAAAAAACATCAGGTCGAATTCCTTAAAAATAACCCTCTTTCAAAGATATTTCTTCAAAGGGTTTGAATGTAATTTAATCAATTGATTTGTTAATTGATTTTTTTATAATGGAATCATTAATGTAGATGACCTGATGAAATATATATATATTGATCTTAAAACTTCTCAATAAATCAAACGTATTCAGTTTATGTGTCTGATTTAATAAAATTATCTTCCTAACATCCATACAAGTTCTCCCTTTGTATCGCATGGCCAGAGACTATGATCTTTGACGTCAGATTCGAGCACCAACTTCAGTTGATCGATTCAAGTATAATCATACGAGTGTAATACAAGTATAATTTTAAGCATACAAGTCCAATCTTCCTACTGCTACGAAAACCTGTTTATTAAGGTTGCATATAATAATAAATTTATTAGATTATATTTCTACGGATTATTATAATGTAAGAAATAACAAATTCAATGATTCTTACCAGGAATGAGTGACTCTAAGGATACTCTCCCGTCCTCGGCGGTTTTGTCCCTACCATTGAAATTAAATTTATAAGAAAAAATTTTTTTTTTGTAATGAATCAATTTTTATTAAAAATTATTATTATAACAACCTTCAAGGCTTGACCAACGATTATTTTGTCTTCGTTTTTCATGGTGTAGAGGAAGTAGAGGAAGTTAGAACGAGCACCCGTGATGGAAGTGGCCGTAGTCGAGGTTTTGAACCGGAAAGCTTATTGGATGAGATGTTATTAAAGGACATGCCCGTCAATTTTTTTGTATTATCAAATAAAACAGAGAATTTAGGAAATAGATTAATAATTACATTGTTGTCATCGGTGACTATCAAAATTAATTGAATATCCTGAATCAAACTCATTCCGTATTTTTTGGCGACATTTCAGAGATCATAATGTTGTGCCTCGATGGCCAATTGGCAAATTCCTGAACATGGAAAGAAGCTTTGACATGCCCCACAAGGAACACGATGCAATTTACAGCGGATTCAAAGTCCCCCCTCCACTACAATGAACCCTAATTGCAGGCTTGTATTCAAAATTAACTTTTTATTGCTTATCCAAAGATATCAGAAATACGTAAAAAATTATCAAAGTAAATGATAATTTGAATAAAAAAAAAATTATACCATCCGAAATACATAACCTTTAACTCTTATAAAGTATATATGAAAAGGAAAATTTTGCAGTCCTTTTTTTTTTTTTTTGTGAAATTTTCAAAGCTGATACGCGCTGATAAATTCCTCGTGAACATACAAAACAATCCTAAAAATTAAAATTTTTTTGTGGCTGATCCCTTTTAGTACGTTCACGAGGAACTTGGCAGCTATCACAAAAGTCATTTCCAAATTTGGTCATATCAAGATTACAAAAAAAAATATCGTGTGATCCACTGCATCTTTTTAATTCCAAAATGGAACTGTAAAACCAAAAAATCGTAAATTTGTTAATGTATCACGTTACCATGGCGTAGATTTATTCGAATTCGTTTTAGAAATGACTCAAATGAATAATTCAAATAAGAATTTATTTGCATTACTACTAACTACTATTTACTATTAGGATAGAAACTTGAATTGGTTAGTGATCGACATTATTATTTATATTAATATATTATTAAATTTTGTCGCGAACGTGACAAAAATTTATTATTAATATTAATAATAAAAATTGCTAATTGTCAACCTTCTTTTTTTGTTCCATGACTTTTATACAGGGCATGTCAGGCAAAGTGAACATTTTAATTTGTATTGCCAAGAATTTCAGTGCTTAAAAATTTTAAATGTGATTGTGATAACATTTTTCTAATTTTTACTGTGTATTATTATTGATGAAGAGGTTGACGTATAGGGAATGTTTCATCATTTTCATATTCTCACCAATTCGCAAAATTATATGTGCAACTGCCTCAAATATGTTTCCTCGCAAAACTGCCTATCCAATCTGATCTTTTGCTTGCTGATAAAAAACTATATATATACAACTGATCCTTTTTTTCCTCCTCATAACGATTTATATCTTTTCACTTACACATGTTGATGCAAAGAGTATTGATTGCTGGGTATATGATGGAAATGATGAACATCAAGTTCTTTTATCTGGTTCTTCATCAGGAGCATTAATCTATATTAATATGTGCACAACTTTATTGTTAACTTTTTTGAGCTTAGGATCAACCACATCTCAACAATTATATCGAAATTTTCGAACTGTTCAGAGCTTTATGCTAGGAATTACTTGGCAGCCTCTGATATTCTAATTTTTGCATTCTGCTTATTTAGAATTAAATTATTGATTTCTAATCTAATAAACTTTATTATAGCAACCAGTGTCCCGGTTGAACGAGTTTTTTCTAGAGACACTGACTTAATTACTCAAAAACGTTGTAGTGTGCAATTTAATTCTTCTGACTCTTTATTTTGATCAAAATTTAAAAGGTCTTCTTCAAGTTGATTGCAACTATAATCTAATTTTTTAATTTGGTGCAATTATTGACATTCAGTTTAGTTGATTGATTACAGCTACAATCTAATTTCTCTAAATTAATAAAAATTATTTAAATCTAGTTCTTCTGTTAATCCTCATTCACTAAGATCCAACTCTTTAATAGTAGCTCTTTCTGCTTCAGGATGGTCCCCCTCTATTCATCCTCAAACATCAACATTTAAAGGTTTTCTTTCGATACTTTTTGGTACAAAGAAATCCCCTATTTTTTTCTTCTTTTAAGACGCAAATTAATTTTTTTCTAATACATCAAAATATTATTGTTTAAAAGATTATTAATTCTTTTTAATAATTATTATTTTATTAATAGTTATATGGGCCATGGATGCATGTGGAAGCTAATAAATATATCAGAGGGCACATAAGAAAGTTAGATAGTTGTTCTGTCTCCATATTACCTATATAAAAAGAATAATTTGTTAATTCCAGAAATGCATCCACGAATTTGCAACAGTGGCAATTTTTCCATAAATTTCTGGAATTTTAAATCATATATCGGAGTTTTTTACGGGGTTATGAGGATGCAGCAACGGAAAACAGATATTAGTGGGACGGACATCTTTCGACTATTTGTTGGATTATAAGTGGTTTTTACGATTCTTAATTAATAGTTTTCTTTTTATTATTATCAATAGTTTATTATCTCATTAACAATATGTAATATAATAATCTCACATTGGTTGCAAATTTATGGGATGCAACCGCCTTAGAAGTGAATAGACTTAATCAGAAAGTAATGTTTTATTAGTTAAAGCAAGCTTCCGTAGCGAGAGAAAAATGAAGACTGAGATATTTGATTAGGAAAATTTGAAAGTGTACATGTTCGATTTTCCATCAAAGCCATTTTCTCGGCAAGGCAAGTGCGCGACATTGGAATACCATATAAAGTCATGCCAGAAGACTGGGGCATCACCTGCAGTATATGGCGTACGAAATTTGATCATTGTTGGGATCTTGACATTTAATACAAATTTTGGATCCTTTTCGCATTTTATATTTTGAATTGACAGACCTTGAATTTGCTACTAACAAGTAGATTCCAGTTAAAACAGATTTTACTTTCAAACCTATAGGAAAAACCGAAGGAAATAATTGATGAGCCAATTCAGATGTGCACCACCATGAGTTGCAGTGCATTCAACATACGTTTTATACAAATATAACATCCTAAAAAATTCCTAAAATACAAATGTACCATTTGAATCCAATACCCGCTTTTCAAATATACCATCGTCAAAAAAAAAAGGGTAATTCTACCCAAAATTGAAATGCCTCAAGATTGTTCGGGTCTATCAATCCCATATGATCATACATTTTATGTGTTTATAGAATATCTAGCATGTATAATGGTCAATTGATATATTTGTGCGGCCTGTAATGCATATATATACGTTAATTCGATTTCATATAACAGTCCGATTTCTCTTTTACTTAAACCCTAACCTCCATATTGACTAACAAATATAATATAAATGTTCATAATAATAATATTAATCTTGCTACCTAATAAAATGATTATAATTGTAAGTATTTATGCATCAAGAAGTAACATGAGATAGATAAAAAGCCACATAATGTTAATCAGAAATCACCTCAACACCTCTAAATTTATTTAAAAGCTGAAGATGTCAAAAATTTCTCAAATTTCTTTTTCATAAACTGTAGCGAATGAAACAGCAGTAGAAAAAGTTGCCAGGAAATGCAATACAGATAATTACTAATATTCCTGATGTATATATTATACTTCAAAATAATGAAATTGCTACCACTGTTCTTTATACCGTGAAAAAATTTATGAGAGCTGAAGATCCAGCGATTGTCATCCAATGGAATGGTGCGGGATTTAATGATGTTGTTACCATACTTGGATGTTGAAACGGTGTTCTGGGCCAAATAAAAAGAGCTGTTACAACAAATGGAGGAAAATATGCCAACCATCTCAACACAGGTACGGAATGCATTATTATTAATAATTAGAAAGAATCATTTTGATACGAAGTACATACTAGTACGGGAGATTCATTCTCTCGTACCTAAAATATGGAACAATGCGGAACCAGTACGGAATACTTTGGACCGTAACGAAAAAGATTCAAGGAGTTTACTATATGGTTTTTTAAGCCAAAGATGGTTCTACATAGAGTTACATATTAGTCAAGATTGCTTTTTTTCACGTTATGGTCCTTTTCTATTGTTCAAACCCCTTCCTTACATGGGCATTTTAATACGGAAAATACGTAGAAACATCTATTCCGTACCGTTTCTGTACGGGAAAAGTTCATATTTCTATATTAATGTTAATCTTAATATTAGCATTAATATTGATACTGATACATATTTCGTATGTATTCACTCACTACCTATTCCATACGTGATGGGACATATGAAAATTGCGAATCAAGTCAAAGCGAATAACCATGTCGAACCGGATTGAATCACCTGATTTTTTGATTCGAATCGAAATTCGTTGACTCGTTCAGAAACAAACTATTCCAACAACACGCATATATATTTAATTTACATATATACAATAATATTTAGATAATTTTATTTCACGAAAAAAATTTTTCAATACACGAAAATATAAAGAATTTTATTATAATAAAGAAATGTCTTTTTTTAGCAATAAGATATATATGTTAGTATATTAAAAAAATAGCCAATATTTTTAAATTACTAATTCGTTCGATCTTTACAATTCTTCCTTTCTATAATCCTCTACCTTCTTTTCAATTTGTTCTTTTGTATCAAAAATCTTCTGACCAATTTGGTCTTTTGTATCAACAATCTTTTCGCCGACCTGATCTTTTGTATCGCTGATCTTTTCACCAAATTCCTTAAATCTATCCCTCAATAATGTGACATATGCATTGATTGTATCTTCAGTGATATCTTTGACGCTTTTGGTATTTTTGAATGGTCCTTGTTTATCTTTTAGTGTTTTAGTTAAAGTATCGAGTTGTTCATTTGTCAATTGTTGTGTGGAAGAAACTTGTTTAATCATAGCCTCCAATAACTGATCGATTTTTTGATTTCCATAAGTTTTTTGGTTTTTAACCACATCATTCAAATAATTTTTAACGTAACTAATTGATCGTTCAGCTTTCTCATCTGCCGTTTCTATTGTTTCTCGACTTCTTCCCCTAATTTTATCTGTGGCGGAACTGAAAAAGCCGAGTAAACTATTAAAATATTCACTGAATATATTTTTAATGTGTTTATATTGTTCTGATGTCAGGTTTTTACTGTCGTAATATTTTTTACTAATACTATCCAATGCACCTTGTATTTTTTCTTGCGTTAGCAATCTGTAATCATTAGCTGTTTCAAGTTGAGATCTGAGTTCTTCAACAATATAATCGGCTGTACCGCCTACTGTTTTAGTCAATTCATGTTTAACACGATATAGGATGTTGTTTAGTGATTTTTTATAATCCTCGTAAGAGAGGGTCATTGTCGATTTAACTGCAGACGTTAATTTTTCGGAGACTCTCTCGAGATCTTCTTGTGTCGAGATCTTACGTTTAAATAGTTCTTCTTGAATACCATGTACTACAAGTGTAAGTTGTGGCAGAACCCTAGCTTTTGCAAGACTGCTGGTGGTTTTATTAAATTCATCAATAAACCATTCAATTGTATCATTACTGACGTCATTAAAATTATGAATATCTTGTTGAATGCGATTTGATGATTTTTGAATTAATACGTCTCTTCTTGCTGCAGCTAAACTGTACGATTCTTTGATTTTATGTAACGTGTTGCTTACATTTTTGTTTACACTTGTTTTAGTTGATTTTAATTGAGAGTCGATTTCGTCAAATACTTCGGACATTTGATCTTCGGTTAATCCGGTTGAACGTCGTAAATCTTCAATTTTAGTAGAAATTGTTTGTGAATATTCATCAAGTTTATCTGCTGTTAATTCTTTAGCGTCATTTATATCTGTCATTATTATCAAGATAAAAATGATTAATAATCGTAATAGTAATTAATTAATAACACGAAAAATGTGAACAAAAAATTTTCATAACTCACTTCCACCAATATAATCGATAAAGGTGTTAACGTAAGATTTTATAACCTCAGTGTTGGATTGAGGTTTCGGCTCGTTATTATTATAGGATGAATTAAAATTAGATTTTACCAATTCAATTAAATCATTTTTTTCAGGAATTCCTTTATATGTTATATCATGTTCAGCAAGCCATTCTTTAATTTGGTTTGAGGGCCAGGTTGTAGGATCATTAGAATCTAATTTGTTTGTTTGTTTATTGGTTAATGTGTGATATAAATTGAGTCGAGTATTTTATTTTAATTCTTTGAGATATATTTACCATATTTATCTATTGCAATAATAGAAAATGCAAAGAAAATTAAAACGAAAATTATTAAAAGATTTAATTTATTATTTTTGTAAAACATCATCTTTGATAGGTTTTTTTTTTTTCCAAAATTATTATTATTTTTTTTTTTTTTTTGAGAGAGAGAGAAACCTTTTAATAAACGATTATTATATATGTCCCCAGATTTTTCTAAGCTAAATAAAATATAATGATGTATATATTAAATCATCGTCGTGTATTTATATTACATCATCATCACAATTAATAAAAATTACTAAAGAATTCATTTTTTAAAAAAATTACATCATAACTTCGTCATCATATTGTAAAAGTATATTTTTCAAAAATGTAGTCGAAACCCTCTATAGTAAAGCTCGTTATAATGAAATTTCGTTATACTGAAGATCGTCATATTTATACTAATTAATATGGATCGGAGAAATTCTTCGAACAACAATAAATAAATAAATAAAAACTAATAATAGTTTTCAATCAACAAAAATGTCCAGTTGCAGCATCAGTTACATTAAATAAATTAAATTATGATGAAGATCATAATTTAATTTAGAAAAAAGCCGTTACTTTTGCCCCTGAATTCTATTATTGTTCGTATTTAAATTTAAATTTAAAAATTTAAATACAAGTTTATGCTACTTTGACGTGTAAAAAAAACTCTCAAATTTGTAAATATTCACTTTAAGACAAAAGAACTCTTATGATAATGGTAAATATAAAACTCTTTTGATATCTATAAATATATAATTTATTGACTTCATACATTTTAAGGCAAAATATGACCTTGAAGATGCTTACACTTTACTCGAAAAACTCGGAACTGGCTCTTTTGGAACAGTATATAAAGCGTTAGTTATTCAAAAAATGAATTTAACGCGTACAAAAATTTCAAATATTTTGTGGAGCACGTTAATTGACAAACGCGTAATTTGATATTAAACGATATAGCGTAAAGAAGGAAACAAATGAAGTTGTAGCAATTAAGATAATTGATATGGAGAATTCTGAAGATGACATAACTGACATACAACAAGAAATAGCTTTATTGGCACAATGTGATTCTCCTTATATCACTCGTTATTACGATTCTTTTGTTAAAGGATTCAAATTATGGATTGGTAGTTGATCTAATTAATCTAATTATCGGGGGGGGGGGGGGGGTTTTTTTTTTTTTGGAGTTAATTTTTTTAATTATTTGAAAATTAGTTATGGAATATCTTAGTGGTGGATCATGTTTAGATTTGGTAATTATTATAATTTGAATGTGTTTACATTATATATCTTTTTTTAATAAGTATTTGTAATCTTCCCTTTCAGCTTAAACCTGACACATTTGATGAACACCATATTGCCATTATTATTAGGGAACTTTTGTATGGGTTAGAATATTTACATACTGAAGGCAAGATCCACAGAGACATCAAAGGTAAATTAATAATCAACTGATTGATTGAATGAGTTATTGTTTGATTGTTTGATTAATTTATTTGTTCGGTTTAATATAATTATAGCTGCCAATGTTTTGTTATCAGGAGATGGAAAAGTCAAACTTGGTGATTAATTTATCTATTCAAAAATTATCTATTTAACTGTAATTATTATTTGTTCAATAGTCTAATTGATTTGAACTCTCAATTTTTTTCTAGCGGACTTTGGTGTGGCCGCTCAACTTTCAATTAGTGGGACTAAAAGAACAACATTTGTTGGAACTCCTGTAAATAATAATAATAATAATAATAATAATAACAATTATAATAAATCGTATTTATTAATTTGTTAATCACATGTAATTAGTTTTGGATGGCACCAGAAGTCATTCAACAAGCAGGTTATGATCATAAGGTATACCATATATTTTATTTGTTAGTTGGCCGGTCGGTCAAGATCAAGCGCTTGATCACAATTTAATAGTAATAATAATAATAATAATAATAATAATAATAATAATAATAATAATAATAGGCCGATATATGGTCACTTGGAATTACTGCTATCGAGTTGGCAAAAGGTGAACCTCCATTATCCGAGTATCATCCAATGAGAGTTTTATTTCTTATACCAAAAGCAAAACCACCAGTTTTAGAAGGAGGCTTTTCTAATTCATTCAAAGATTTTGTCTCCTTGTGTTTAATTAAGAATCCAATTCACGCAAGTGTTTATTTTTATTATTGTTACGGCTTTTTTAGAATTGTGAAAATTGGATTTTTATTGAGATCATCTTTTGTTTTATCAATGTATAAAATAGCGTCCAACGGTAAAAGAATTATTAAAACACAAGTTCGTCAAATCAGCTCGTGGTACCGTGCAATTACAAGAACTAATTGAAAGATTTAACAACTGGAAGATTGATCGACCAAACAGATTAACTAGTATTTATAGAACAATGTAATATATATGTGTGCGTGCGCGCACGTGTGTGTTTATCTACAAATTTATCATTCTTATTGTTTTTATTTTATAACATAGGTCATTTGTTAATAATAACAGTTCAATAGAAAGTTGGAACTTTGAAACTGTTCTAAAAGCGCATAATGATGGTACTATAAAATTAACCGGTGGTGAATTAAATCAATTAGAACAGGTAAATAAATAATTTTGTGGCAATGTAATTTTTTCATATTAATTCATTGATATATATAATTGAATTTTAGATGATTTCCTCCTCTTCTTCCTCCAATGTAATTGACAAAGAAAAAATTGCCGAAACCAACAAATCAAGTATACTTTCTAAATCTATAAATGATGTTGAAGGGTAAAGTTTATAATTTTTTAGATTATATATGTATCCGAATATCTCTAAAGTCTATTTATTAATATAATAGATTTGATACAGCAAAAGCACCAAGAAAATTTAGTGTGTCCACAGTATCATCATCATCCAATTCATCTATTTATAAATACTCAAAAAACATCCAGTTTATTGACGCTATTACAGAAGAAGGAATCATCTCAAGAAATCTTGTAAATAATATTATTCTTCCATCTGTTCTAGAGGTAAGATAATATATATCATATATAATATATATAACATAAATTTAACTTGTCAATAATTTAATAAATTCTTAGGTTAAATCGGATGAATTAAAGGCATCAGAACTTGAAGCATTAAGTATGTTTGAAAAAGGGGTTGAAGATTTAGACAACAATAACCCTGAATTGGTTTTGTCGATTTTAATAGAAATACTTTCCCAATTAAAAAAGTAATATTGATTGATTTTTCTTTCATTATTTATTTAATTTGTTTATTTATTTATTTGTTAGTCTATTTTTAATTAATTTATGAACTAAACAACTGATCAATTATTTGTAATTGATTTTTTTTCCAGCAATGATGAAATGTGCGAGAAATTATCAGATTTAGGAGTTATTTCAGATTTGCTTATTAATTCATCTTCGTCATCTCCTATAAATTTGATAAATGGTTCTAACATCAATAACAACGAAAATAACAACAATGTTATAATAATAAATAACGACAACAATAATAACAACGAGGAGGAATCATCATCACCGCCATCACCTGGACTTGGTTTTACAGAAATGATTTATACAAGATGGATTGAACAATTGAAATTTAAATGGTTATGGGGTTAATTAATAATCATTATTTTTTTCGTCATAACCATAATCACTGTATTAATAGTTTTTTAATTATTTCTTTATAATGAATTTAATAAAATTATATTAACAAGAATGTGTGTAACTGACATTTAGACATTTGGAACTATGTTGAGTGTGAGATTAACCACTCTCTAGAGATATTATTTGTCCAATAGGTACATTCTAAAATTGTAGGCCTGGTTTTCATAAAAATAAACAAGGATATTTATCACAGCTTCAAACAAAGTTCTTTGTTTTTCAATTAGAAGAATAGCTGGTTATTCTGATCTTTCTAACCAGCATGTCTAGCTAACTCTTTTCAAAGATTTCAGTGCATCTTTTACTGCCAAATAAATAATATGTACAAAAGGGTCGTACATGTTCATAATTTAAAAGACCAAGAACATTTTCCATGTTCTGCTAAAATAATATTCTCGCATCAACACGCTACCCTATTTAGAAAAACCTTTGCAAATGCTTTTTTTCTTTTTAATGGTTTGTTTGTAATTTTTTATCTTGCATGTTTTAGTTGTGGTAGATGAGCATGCCACCTTTTGCCCAAAAATAGTTTCCCTGAATTATTTCCGTTTTGAAGTGATTGATTCATAAATCTCTTCATCATCTGTCTCTCCGGAGTTTCCTTTCTCTTGATAACCTTTTGTTCGTTAGCAGAGAGAAGAGTTTCAATGGCACTGACAGATTAGTTGAAAAGTTTGTTGATTTGATAAAATATGTAAATTAAATCAAGGGGTATCTTATTTCCATACATGTTTCACAATTTAACGTAGCTTTAACACATTTTTTTCTGCTAATTCTATGACTTCTTTTACATTCATTTACCAGATTACCACATTTTATCATCATTTTTTTTTTAACCAATTCCTTTAAAAATTCTCTGCATAGAGTCCATTTGTGGAAAAAAGGCACTTGAAGCACGCTACTGATTACAAAATCTTATCTTTATTTGAGTAATTATGTTTCGTAGCTTAAAGGTTCATCTAGATGGTGTCAGTCGCAAATACATTTCGCAAACAGCCCAATAAGGTAAAAATCTTGGCGAGGAAGAAAGAGATATCCAAATTTTCCTTTAATGTTGATATGCTAAGATATTATAAAAAAAATTTTTTACGTAAAACTAAAATATTTTATATACCAATCGTGATAATAATTATTGAGAAATTGACAAATCTCAAAGATTAGAGACCCACCAAGAACACCAATTTGCAAGAAACTTATCCATATTAGTATCTAATGCTACGTACGATAACCAGGGTTCTTGGTTCATTAACAGACCCGGACATTCATCGTCAGCCAGTTATCAAGCAATATCCTTGGAAATATTTTTTGAATTAAAAAAAAAAAAAAGATTCCTGTTTTAAGACTAGTTTAGAAATGATGAACATTTAAGCATAATTATTATTGTTAGACAGATACTTGATAGGGTAAGTGACAAAAAAATTTCTTTGTGCAAATTTAGTTTGTTACACAAAAGATTAATGATCTACATATATAAATAAAACAATTGAGTTATATAACAAACAAGAAAACTTTTTACTCGAACACAAAATAATGAATTTGTTAACACCGCAGATAATTTTGCAGAAGATTATACAATTAGAAGAAGAGAAGCCTTGGGTTTAATTAATCAAATCATTAAATAAAACAATAAAATTTAAAAATTCTTGTCATTAACAAATAATATCAATCATTTTATTACAATAATAAAACAAATAAATAAGCAAATTAATTATCAATTAACAAATGTAACCAACGATTAATTTATCATTACCTCAATAAAAAAAAAATTATAACGTAATTGAAAAAAAAAATTTTTTTGTGATGATTATGATGAACTGATATTTTTTGACTATGTTTCAAAAAAAGACAAATAAATAATCCGAGTCTCCGGAGGTCGTTGCCAACATAACCAAGACTTTATATCATCATTTTCCGTCTTCCCTATCTTTCCTCCTCGTCATCTCATTCCAAGCAACCAAGATTTCTTCTATCATTAATTTATTTGATTGTGCATATGAGGGCTTGGGTAACAACAATAATGAAATGATTGTTGTACAAGTTCTTATAACTTTACTAATTGCTTGCCGCTGTTGGCCAACATCCATATAAGACCAGACCGTTCAATCTGTCCCACAAAAATCCCAAGTTGACTTTTGGTATGTGCACTATTATTATCTAATTCTATAACATCAAACCCCCAAATTTTTTATACTTTTTTTTTTTACAAGCTTTTTCAACATCTTTAGTTCTCTATAATAATAATATATTTTTTTATTTGTATTTAATTCAAAAGGTATAAATAAATATATTTTTTTGTTTTTTGCTATTTTGTTCAATTAAATAATTTTATTTTCGTTATTTTATTTCAATCTGGTTTTTTTTCCAATAAAATAAAGTTAGATAATATAATACATTCATCGCGTATTTGGATTTTTTTTTACTTTAAAAGTCTACTTTCAAAAACTTTTTTTTAAAAGCTAAAAACTAATTAAAAAATTCTCTTCGTTCTTCTTTTTTAAAATTATATAGTATTTAACCTTAATTTATCTAAAATTTATATATAAAACATGGATGACGAAGTCGCAGCGGTAAGTCCTTCTATATTTTTTTAAATGGAATTTATTTATTCTAGACCTTTTATCTTAATACAATTAAGGCAAAAAATTTTTTATTTAAAAGTATTATTTAATCCCTCCAAAAAAAATTTTTTTATTAACAACTATTATTTTTATTTTTTTATTTTGTGTATGCTTGAATACATATATACATATAATTTTTAGCTTGTAATTGATAATGGTTCCGGTATGTGCAAAGCCGGTTTTGCTGGTGATGATGCTCCAAGAGCTGTAAGTGATAATTTTTTAAAAAAATGATGATATTTGTAATCAATCATAAGATCAACGAATTCTTTTTTTTCTATAATGTGATAACTTTACTAATCTGTTATTTTATTCTTATTTGCTATTGTTGCTGCTGTTGTTTTATTTTTGCTAGGTTTTCCCATCTATCGTGGGTCGTCCACGTCATCAAGGTGTTATGGTTGGTATGGGCCAAAAAGATTCATATGTAGGTGATGAGGCTCAATCAAAACGTGGTATTCTTACCCTTAAATATCCTATCGAACACGGTATCGTAACCAACTGGGATGACATGGAAAAAATCTGGCATCATACTTTTTATAATGAGCTTCGTGTTGCTCCAGAAGAACACCCTGTATTATTAACTGAAGCACCTCTCAATCCTAAAAATAATCGTGAAAAAATGACTCAAATCATGTTCGAAACTTTCAATGCTCCAGCTTTCTATGTTGCTATTCAAGCAAGTATTCTCCATCCATTCAATTTGCATGCATACACGCACAAAACATGTTGCTGCTTCTTCCTCTTTATCATCTATCCTCCATCCTCCAATCCTCAAAAAAAAAAATTTATTATTAATTTTTTTTTAAATCATTATCTTAATAACTAGGCTGTTCTTTCATTGTATGCCTCTGGTCGTACAACCGGTATTGTGCTTGATTCTGGCGATGGTGTTACTCACACTGTACCAATTTACGAGGGGTATGCTCTTCCTCATGCGATCCTTCGTCTTGATTTGGCTGGTCGTGATTTGACCAACTACCTCATGATCATCCTTATGGAACGTGGTTACTCTTTCTCTACTACTGCCGAACGTGAAATTGTTCGTGATATTAAAGAAAAACTTTGTTATGTTGCTTTGGACTTTGAACAAGAAATGCTAACTGCTGCTCAATCGTCAGCGTTAGAGAAATCTTATGAATTACCTGATGGTCAAGTTATTACCATTGGTAATGAAAGGTTAGTATTCTTTGTCTTTTTTAAAAAAAAATTTTTTTGCTAAAATTTATCAAGAATTTATAATTATTGATGATTTTTAAATTTCTCTCTCCCCCTCACTTCCCCCCTCACTTCCCCCCTCACTTCCTCCTTCATTCATCTATCTCTTTTTAAATAGATTCCGTGCACCTGAAGCTCTTTTCCAACCATCTTTCTTAGGTCATGAAGCTGCTGGTATTCATGAAACTACATACAACTCTATAATGAAATGTGACGTTGATATTCGTAAAGATCTTTACGGTAACATTGTTCTTTCTGGGTTAGTATAAATTGTTTAAAAAAATTTTCTGAATGCAAATTTATGTGCGTGTGTGTATGTATACGTATATATATTCATTTATTAAAATATATTATTTTGTTACCACAGAGGCACTACTATGTATGCAGGTATTGCAGACAGAATGCAAAAAGAAATCACAAAATTAGCACCTTCCAGTATGTTGTTTTTTGTTTTTGTTTATTGTGTTTTATTTTGTTTTAATAAATATTTAACATATATTAATCAATTATGAATATTTTTTTATTTTTTAAGCTATGAAAATTAAGATTGTTGCTCCACCAGAACGTAAATATTCTGTTTGGATCGGTGGTTCTATCTTAGCTTCGGTATGTAAATTATTTAAAATTTTTTTCAAAAAAAGTGCGGTGAATTTTATCTAATTAATCTTTTTTTTTTTATGTTTCTTTTTTTTAAAGCTTTCCACTTTCCAACAAATGTGGATTAGTAAACAAGAATATGATGAATCTGGTCCTTCTATTGTCCATCGTAAATGTTTCTAAATAAATAAAATAAGATAAAAAAATCAAGAAAAAAAAAGAAAGCCAAAATTATTATTATTTTGTGTTTTCTTATTATTATTATTATTATTTAAACATTATTATTATTGTTTTAGTCTGTGGCTTCTTCTATTTATATATATATAATAAATACATGGTTATGTTATTATTATTGTAATATTTTATTTTTTTATTTTTTTGAGATTATTTTATTATTATTATTAAAAGCTGTTTTTTGAAATATATATATAATTAATTATAATAATAAATATATATATATATATATACAAATAATAATAATATTTATTATCTATATTTAAATCAAATCAAAAAATGAAAAAAAAAACTTTTTTTAATTTTATTAAATTTTAATATTTGATGAAAATAAAATCATCGAAAAAAAAAAAATCTGAATATATACATTCTGTCAAATAATCAAGGATTATTACTACTTTTAGATATTACCCAATAAATATTAAAAATCCTTTTATCATAATTATTAATATTATTTGAAAAGGAAAAATTTTATTCTAATAATATTAACAACTATTATTCAATTACTAAATATGATTCTTTCCATTGGTTATTTATTGTTGGTGTTAGCTTTATCAGATGGGTAATAGCTGTTATTTGGTTCAGAGTAGTAATAACTAGTGGTTGGAGAAGTAGAACAACTTGTTGGTTGAAATAATTGACTATGACATCTTGTGCTTATTGTTGAATTGATATTATTATTTTTAAAAAAACCACGATTTCTTTGGGAGAGACTGGAAGAGTTATTATTATTTTGAATCTTGATTTTAGCAGTGGCGATGTTGACGCGATTAAAAATTGCTGGTGGAAGACTTTGCGTTGCCGGATTTTCCATTCTTTTAATGATGGGAGGACTCTGCTGCTATTTTAACATAATTAACTATATTAATTAATTATTAACTAATGATTATTAAATCATGCATGCATGTTATTTAACAACAAGACTTACGATAACTTCTTGAACATTATTATGATGTGTTCCTCGAATAATAAATACATGTTCCTTATTGTAAAAAATGAACATTTTTAATTGTTTTTATAAAAAAATCAATCACACATATATAATATATATGTGTGTGTGAGCGTGGCGAACAAACATACCGATGCCTGTTCCACGGTTAATCTTTTGCTAGGAAACTTCTCCAATAAATTTACAACCAAGTCTCGTGCATTCAGATCAACATTTCTCCATGCAAGCGAATTAGGAGAATTGTCCAAATTAAGTTGAGTAAAAACAATATTTGCTCTTAATTCATTACCTTTTCCTTTAAATGGGATATCTCTCACTAAACACATATAGAGGATCACCCCAGCACTCCACATATCAATGGTTTTGCTGTATGTGAAATGTGCTAAAAGTTCCGGCGCGGCTAATAATAATAAATTAATCAAGTATACATTAATAACACGCATGTACATATTACATTAAAACGCCATCATAGTAGGCGTTAAAATCATATAATAAATATACCGAATGCTGGTGATCCACAAACTGTAGCGGTGTATTCTTGATCAAGATCCAATATTTTAGATAACCCAAAATCTATAATTTTAATATCAAGAGAACCTTGTTTACACATTAGAATATTTGAAGGCTTTAAATCTCTGTGAATAATGTTGTTGTCGTGTAGATACTAATATAATATAATATTGAATAACGATAGATATGTTAACTAATTATTAACTGATTATTATAGCAATATTATCATTATTACCTTCACACCTTCAAGTATTTGAGTAAATACATAACGAGTTTCTTCTATTTTCAAAGCACGACGCTGAATAAGAGTAAACAAATCCCCGCCTTCCATACATTCCATTACTATCATGATCAAATTATTTTCATGAAATGTATTAAAAATTTTTACCAATCTGTGATGATTGCATGTATTCATAATTTTTATTTCACGTCTTAAAGAATCAATCTCTGAATCTGTTTTGTCTTTGATTTCGATGAGTTTTGCAGCGTAACGATTTGGTGATGGAAATTGTGGTAAACACAGAAACACTTGTCCGAAACTTCCCTTTCCTAATAATGTCGTGGTAGTATAAAGATTGTTGAAGGTTCTTGAAGTGTAATTTTGATTAAATTTAAATGTATATTCGAAAGTTCCAAAAGAACCCGATTGAAATTTTACTTCTGTTCCATCTTTTAATTCGCGTTCATGATTTAAACCAACTATATATTTGTCAACTAAAAATTTTTTTGATGATTCATGACTTTTATTATTGATTACTACAACTGGAACACCGTTAGATATCATCTTATAGACAATGCATACTGGTATTACATTAACTTGACCATCTAATTTCTTGATAAAAAGAAATATAATGAATAAAATAAAGGAGAAAAATAAATAATAAATAATAAATAATAAATAAATAATAAATAATATAATAAATAATAAATAAAATGATAAATAGTAAATATTACATTGAATTGGTATCGTAAACCATCGTTCGTTACGTAGCCTAAATGTTGACTAGCATCAGTAAAGTAGATCATTTGATCGTTTCTATTTAGTGGTATGAATGCGCCCCATGCTCCATTAGAAAAAGAAGAGGGTGGAGAGGATTGACGTGGAATATTTTGAGGTGGAATACTTTGAGGTGGAATACTTTGAGGTGCATTAAAACCAACTATAGTAGGAATGTTGCTAAGTTGAGTGGTGATAAATTTACAATTACGGGTTAACATTTTTACTGAATTGCTAAATTTTAATAATTGTATTGTATGTATTTATATATATGTATATGTATATAATTGGATTTAATATATTTGGAAATATGTAATTGTGAATAAATTCAATTGTATTGTTTAAATGAAAGGAATCGAGAGAGAGAAAGGAGAATAATAAAAAAATTTGATTTTGAGATTTTGAGGGGGTGTATATAAATGATAATCATAAATCTATTTGTGCTATTTGTGATGTCATTTGATATTTGATATTGAATTTTGTAAATAAATAAATGAAAAAAGCTTATGAGAAAGTTTTATAAAATAAAATAATAATTGTTTTATACAGCAATAATAATCATTGAAAATCAATCAACTATTTGTTTGTTTTGTTCTTGTAAGAAATATAAAAGGAAAGTCAAGGATTGTAGACACGTTCGAAATCAGAGTTAATGCATGGTAACGTAGTACAATTCAAACATTATTTAATTTTGAAAATATATGTTATTCAAATTGCTACAGTTATATTTCAATTCTGGTCTTCGTGACGATATAACCAACATGAAAGTGCTAAAAGGACAGCTCTATGAATAGAATTCAATCAACCCAAGAGAGAGCGAGGCTATAGGAAGCATTATTCGCCATACAGAATCTCGATACATGTTTTTTGTTAGAAGCAAAGCATGTGATGCGAGGATTTTATTTTATTGTATATATATAAATAGATTGGTCAAGTTTTTCTACTAGTTTTTTGTTATTCAAGGTTGTACAAATTACTTAGCTGCATATTTTTGATTGTCCAATTATCTCTTAATATTCATGCATGCATGTGACAAGAGGAGACATATATTAATGTTAATATGCTAACCTTAATACCACTAATATTAAAGTCACCAAAGATATATTTGTCATTAATAATATTGACATCGGATAAATTTCGTTACACTATTGTTATTATTGAATCAAAAACAATGTGGGCCTAATACTATTGATTTTGATCAAAATTTTGTATCCATATTGTATACCGTTCTACAATGCTTTTCTGTCATTGGATGGATGACTTTATACTATTCAAAATTCGAGGAATCACTCTGTCGATAATATAAAAAATGCCTCTCGATAGTATTTTCTTTAAAAAACATGTATCAATAGTTACAAATACACACTTTGTTCCTTCGCAGACACTTTGAATCTTCTTATCTCTTTCTACCACTATTGTGTCCTTGATATATCTCTGTTGGTGCTGTCCCTTGAGCACACATTTGGGGTGATTACTGTAAGCAAGTATTTCTTTTTCTGCGAGATTATGATGTTGAAAAAGTGCTACATATGTAAACTCGATAAGTCAAAATTTTCATCCCATTTTTTTAATATTTAATTTAATTCGATAAGTCGGTCATATGAGCTCACCCCCCACATGACCGACTTATCGAGTTTACATATGTATCACAAGTAAGTGCTCGTTACAGAAATAAACATTACAAACTCATCTTCGTATTGATATTCAAAACTAAAATTCTGTTCAAGCAATATTATTTTATCAATTTAACTGGGATTGCACTCTTGGCAAAGTCATTTGTTAATTCGATGGATTCATCAGGTTAAACGAACTGGTCATTTGATATCTTTATCTAATAATATATCGGAAATTTCCTTGCAAGGATTTGATGATAAAGATTAACAAAATTTTGAAAATTGAAACTTGCAATCATTTACATTCGCATGAACGAACATGATTTGGCTAGAAAATAGATGTATCTTTCGTCATATTTGAAAATATTAAAGATTTCTTGGCATATACTTGTTTATATTTGGAGGCAAATGTTCTAACCTATTGAAATTTTTTTTAGTGAAGCCTAAATTTACCGATGCACAAATATGTTGTACACGAAAACATTAGTCTATTTTTATTTATCGATTACCTACTATCATCAAAATCTATATTAAATTATATTAATTATTAATATAAAAATGTAGTGCACCGATAGGTTTATTATTATAGCGCTAATTTTGTATTAGTTTTTTATATATAAAGGAGGACTTGAGAAAAATCCCTACATCATCTTCTCTTTCTTCTCTTTCTTCTCTTCTTATTTTTCACAAAAAAATTTTAATTGAAAATTTTTGTACATCGAAAAAAGCCCTTCCATTAAATAATAATAATAAAATGTCCTCTAAGAGAACATCGACACAAGTGATTAGAGAAGAACAAGAAGATGGAAGTATAATAGAAAAAACCGTGACAACTTTCATAGAAGAACGAGAAGAAGAAAATGAACCTAGCATTACTACCACATCTGCCACTAATACCAGTGAAACTGGAATTGAATTGAAAAATGATAATGGAGATATCATCACTAATAACGATAAACCAGAGTCATCTAATAAAAGAACATCGACAAAAGTAATTAGAGAAGTACAAGAAGATGGGAGCATAATAGAAAAGACCGTGGTAACTGTAATTGAACAAAATAGTGAAGAAAGAGATGAAGAGAGAAGCGAAGAAAAATATGAAGAAAGAAGTGAAGAAAAACATGAAGAAAAATATAAAAAAAGTGAGCCTATCATTACTACCACAACCACCACATCTGCTACTGATAATAGTCTTAGTGACACCACTAAAACTGGAACTGAATTGAAAAGTGATAATGGTCATGATAATGCAATTATTAATGATGATGATTATTCGGAAAAAAAGATTGAAAAAATTGACAGTACCGCCACCACTACTAATAATGATAATATTAGTAATGATCCAGAAAAAAACAAAGCATTGGCAGAAACCCCCACACATCATCAAAGAATTCAATTTGAAGAAAGAGAAAAACCAGATCGTATTACTCCAACTGACCAAAATGACAATATTACAACTGATCCAACAATACAATCTTCGTCTGATGCTGCTACTAATAATAAATCCAAAGAAATTCCTGACGTAGATTCTCCAAAAAAGAAGCATATCGATATTGTAAGTAATCAATCAATTGATTGATTTTTTTCAAATTAACATTCAACAATTATTTATATTTTTTTATTTTTTATATTTTTTTTAGGATGAACATATGTTAAAACCTAATGAAGTTTCCAAACGTTACTCTGTTAACATCAATGTCGAGAAACCTCCAGAATCACGTGGTTTAACAGAAGGTCAAGCAAGCAAAATTTTATCAGAAAAGGGTCCAAATGTTCTCACTCCACCCAAAAAGAAACATCCTTTTATAAAATATTTAGAATGTTTATCTACTTTATTTAATGTTTTATTGATTATTGCTGGTATCTGCATGTACATCGTATTTGCTATAGACCCTCAAGATAATCCATCTAACGTTAGTGCTCCTTTTTTTTTCATTAATTTTTATTCGATTTTAATGAAATTATTTTTAACTTTATTCATTCATCCATTATTAGAGTTACCTTGGTGCAATTTTATTGGGTGTTGCTTTCTTAAATGCCTTTATTGAATTCTATCAACTACAAAAATCTGCTGCTATTCTCGAATCCTTTTTAAATTTAATTCCTCAAAAATGTTATGTCATCAGAGATGGAAAACTCATTCAAATTCAAGCTTCAACTCTTGTACAAGGCGACTTGGTTTTCATAAAAATGGGTGATAAGGTTCCGGCTGACTTGTATTTGTTTTCTGTTACTGACATGAAAGTCGATAATTCCTCCTTGACCGGTGAATCTGAAGCTCAGGAAAGAACAAAAACAAACGATCACGAAAATCCTTTAGAAGCTACAAATCTTTGTTTCAATGGTACTTTGGTTACTTCTGGTGAAGGTTATGGTATCGTAATAAGGACTGGTGATCACACTGTTCTGGGTCAAATTGCCGGTTTGACTGCTGGCGAAGATAAAAATAGGTCTCCTTTATCTCAAGAAATCGACAACTTTGTTAAAATAATTGCAACAATAGCTTTATTATGTGCCATTATATTCTTTGGCATTGGTATGAGAGTTTACAACAACCAAATCTCACTCACTCTTAGTTTTGCTATATCCGTATTGGTTGCTTGGGTACCTGAAGGTTTACCCGCCACTGTCACAGTGCTTTTAACTATTGCCGCAAAAAGAATGGCTACTCAAAATGTCTTAGTCAAAGATCTTCAAGGGGTCGAGACTCTGGGTGCGATCACACTTTTGGCCACTGATAAAACTGGTACTCTCACTAGAAATCAAATGACCGTCACATATATATGGTCGGCTTTAAATATGTATTCAGCATTTCGTGGTGTTGGCCAAAATGACAACTTACCTTTTGATAGGGATGCTCCTGGTATTCAAGATATCATAAATATCTCCATATTATGTTCTCGTGCAAAATTTAATAGTACTGACATCCCATTCCAAGAACGTGAAATTCTTGGTGATGCAACTGAAACTGGTCTGATTCGTTTTGCAGCTCAAAATGTGGATGATTATGATGATGTTGTTAACTCGCATCCAAAGGTTTTCGAGATTCCTTTCAATTCCGAAACAAAATGGGCTCTCACTATTCACAAGAAAAAACATGAAAATGGTGAATTGGTCTTGTATATAAAAGGTGCCCCCGAAAGAGTACTCAAATTGTGTTCTACCATTTTAACAGATAAAAGTGCTATTCCTTTGACCGAGGTGCACAAAAAAACTTATGATGAAAGGTACGAGTTCATGGCTTCAAAAGGTCATCGTGTATTGGCTTTTGCTGAATTTTTGTTACCACGTGACCAATATCCAGAGGACACCGAATTTAAAAAAGAAAAAAACAATTATCCACTTAAGGATTTATGCTTTGTTGGTCTTGTATCTCTTGAAGATCCACCAAAACATGGAGTACGTGAAGCTATTGGCCGTTGTCGTACCGCTGGTATTCGTGTCATGATGGTGACCGGTGATCATCCTTTAACTGCTGAAGCTATTGGTAGAAAAATCAATTTAATGTTAAGTGATACAAAACAACTGATGGCTAAACGTACAGGACGTCCTATAGAATCAATCAGAGATGATGAGTGTAATGCTGTTGTAATTCATGGAGAACAAATTGATTCGTTGAGTGATATGGATTGGGAAAGTATTTTTGCCAAGAATGAGATAATATTTGCTAGAACTTCACCTCGTCATAAACTTGAAATTGTCAAACGTGCTCAAGGAATGGGTCATATTGTAGGTGTAACTGGTGACGGTGTAAACGATTCGCCGGCTTTGAAAAAGGCAGATCTTGGTATTGCCATGAATCAATCAGGTTCTGATGTCTCCAAGGAAGCTGCTGCTATGATTTTAATGGATGATAATTTTGCTTCAACTGTAAAAGGTATCGAGGAGGGTCGTCTAATTTTTGCAAATTTAAAAAAATCTATAAGATACACGATTTCTCACTCCACACCACAAGTTGCGATGTCTTTACTCTATGTAATTGTACCCATACCATTACCATTACCACCAATCCTTATTTTAGTGACTGATTTAGGTTTTGAATTATTTGTTGCTCTTTCTTATGCATGGGATAAACCAGAGTCAGAAAAAAGTCTTATGAAATTTCCACCACGTAAACCTGTGACAAATGAATCAATCCAACGTCTTAAAGCTCGCAAACTTCGTCGCACACCAACAATAAGGGATCCGGGAACAGGAGAACCTGTAAAACTTTCAAGATTTTCTTCATTTTTATACACAATCAAAAAGCCATTCACTGCTGAATGGTGGTCTGAATTATTGGAGAGTAAAGGTGGCGAGGTTTTGGTTGATTTGAATCTTTTGAGTTGGTCATATTTAGAAATTGGTACTATAGAGGCAATCGGGGCTATCGTTTCATATCTTGTGGTATTGAATAGTCATGGAATCTCTCCTTATGACGCAAGAAATATGCAAAATTCAATAACTGAAAAAAATTATTTTACTGATAAAGCAAGCGACTATCAAACCGTTTATGGCAATGTATTGGATGCAGCTGCTCAAAAAGAAGCAGTGGCTCAAGCAGCCTCAATTGTATACCTTGGTATTATGATTCAACAAATGTTTAATTTGTTTGCAGTGAAGGGAAGATATCGCTTACCATTTGGTTGGTTCATATTTTCAAATCGTCTTAATTTCTATGGTGTATTTGGTGGTGTCGTATTAGCCATGTGTATCGTTTACATTCCACCTTTTAATATTGCTTTCGGAACAAGTTATCGACTTAGTCCATTATTTTGGCTTATACCGATGGCATTTGGTATCTTCATTTTGATGTATGCTAGTTTACGTATATTATTGTTAAGGAAAGCACGGCCAGTTAATCTTAATCCGGAAATTGCAGGATTACAAATGTATCCAACAGTACGTTCTGTAGAAAGAAAGGTCTGATTATGATTGGTAACAAATAATGGATTATATTGATTATAGATTGGTAGCAATCTATGCCTTTAAGTCATTTAAAAATAACATTTTAATAATAAAAATTAATTAATTAATTCATATCCTTGTACATTTATAAGTTGTAAAAAATAAAAAAAATTTATTTTTTTTTATTTTCAAGATTTACTTTACTTTTAATAACAATTAAGTTGGGGGGTTAATTTAATTAACAATTTAATTTTATAATTTATAATTTTTTTATATTTTGAATAAATTTAATAATAATAAAATAATAAACTATATCTAAATTCAAAATTCAATAAAAGTATACACAGATTGAAAGCATTAAAGCTTGGAAAAATATCTATTGGTACCAACTATGAATTTTGATAATAAGCATCAGATGTGTTATTTTTGCATAGATAGGTGGGCCGATTATTTTAAATCTATTCATAATGCCGAGACAATCGGATTAACTTGTCTACTTTGTTTATTCTTTAATTCTTTTTTTTTGAATTCTATCCATTCTTCAATGCTTAATTATATTCATTGTATTTTCTTAATTTCATCTTGACTAAATGATATTAAAGAATATAAAAATTCAACAAGTAATACTCTCAAGATTTAAATTAATTGTTTTATCTCATTTGCCTTGAGATATCTTGTGCAATCTAATTATAACGTCACGTGTATATTTTGTTGGAATAAAACAAAATTTCAATTCAGATAAATTTATTCATTAAAATATGAGTCATTAATTTATGTTTAGAAATAAATATACTGTACCATGTACAAGACAATTATTGCACACAGGTATAAAGTTTAATTTATCAATGCTGTTTTTTGAGTCAAAGTAAATTCTTGAAGTGAACCTCACCTTGATTCTGTGGCCATGCATGATATGTAGGATTTTCCTTTCTCCGCAATTTCCAAAAGTATAGATTCACCACAAAAATTTGTATGTTTAGAGTTCCTATTCGTAATACAAATTCTTATTCGAATTATTCGTTGATTTTTGCTTTATTTGTTCTATTCGAATTATTCATTCTATTTGCTTTATTCGCTTTATTCGAATTACTCGTTTTATTCGTTTTATTCGTTTTGTTCATTTGTTCGTTTTATTCGTTTTGTTCATTTTGAATAGAAATACTAAGGACATTCTATTTTTTCAATTCATATATAAAATTCATCGTCTCCACAAACTTTTAAACTCTGTTTCAGGTTCTAAAATACAAAGCCTTTGAGTAATTAAGTTTGTGCCTCCAAAAAAAAACACATTCAATGGTTGTTATTAGATTAGAAAATTAGTGGGTCTGGTTCTAAATAAGCAGAGCGCAAAAATTAGAATACCAGGAACTGCCAAATAGTTTTTAGCATAAGCTCTGAACAGTTCGATTCAAACCGAAAATTCTGGTTCGGTTTCAATTTGGTTCAAAGAGTAACCGAAACCGAACCGAACCGAAATTTTTCAGTTTGACTTTTTAGAATCCGAAACCGAAACCGAACCCTTTGGAGCTTTACTTACAGCTTAACGAGAGTTTATATGTGTGTCTGACTTATCAAGAGATTTTTAAATATAAAAAAAAAAGGGCTGGAAATTTTTGTCTAATCTGACTTATCAAGTGTCCAACTCATTGAGTTTGCCTATGTACCCCTATTTTTTTTTCCCCAGAATACACAAATTAAAATTTTTTTTTATAGATGAAGAGTTGTCCAAGACAAGCGTTCATTTATCAGTAACATAATACTATTTGGCATGCATGGTATTGTAGTGAAGGAGGAATGGTGCAGTTTGTTAACCAGATACCTATGATTATGGTTGAAATCAAGGTTACTTACCACAACAAACGTTTGGTATCATTTTGCTTTTCATAATCACTATTAACATTAAGCATGATATTAAACAAAAAAGGCAGCATGAATATAGAAAAAAAATAGCACCTGAACAATTTGGAAACACATTTCAATATATAACATTTGATCATTGTAAATCTCAAGTGTTCAAGTGCATCACTTTATTTAAAACACTACAATCTTTCCTCACATATATAAGGCTAAATTGACTTTCTCCCCTGATAATATGATGATGAAACTGAATTACAGAGAGGGGAGGTGCTCTCCTTAATTTTGATACTGCACTTGCTACTCATCAAATGGTGGCTTGTAATACTCCTGATGGTTATTCTGACATTGTCTTTATCTGTGGTGAATGTAAAAATGATTATGATGATAATACTCTTCCATGATGTGAGAAACGTGGTAAGGTAAAAAGGAATAGGAACAGATGTTTTTGTAGTCATTTAAAAGTTAAATCAACTAAACCATTTTCTGACAAAGAGTTGCCTTCACAAGCTTTCAGTTTTCACCTAGAAAATAGAACTAGAGAACTAGAAAAAGAGTTATCAATTACCAAAGAAGCCTTAGAAATTGAAAGAGAAGAAGTGGCTAAGTTTCAAGAGAAATCCAAAGAGTGAAGCAAGAGACAAAAGCAAGAATTGTTGGATAGAATTAAGCAGTTAGAAGAAGAAAATAGGAAGTTAAAAGAACTAACTCCCCAAGAATTATTTGATAAACTAACAGCCAATGAAAAAGAAATTAGTGAGTTAAAAGTTCAATTATCATAATTACAACAGCAAAATGGTCAATTAACTGCTCAAGTTGAAGTCAAAGAGATTAAAAGATGATCTTGATTGAAAATAAAAAAGTAATTGAGGAAATTTCCTTCTGTATAAATTGAAATTCATTCCAATTATCAAAGAAAATGGTAGTTATTTTCCTTTTAAGGATTTTAGCTTTTTATTAGGTAATAATGCATTATCATGATGCTTTCTTTTTCCAACATTTATTATTTTTCTTTCTTCTTGGTAAATTTCATAGGTAATCCTTTCTTTTCTTAGATAAGTTTCCAGTTCTGAGTATCATTTATTTTGAAAATGTAAGGAGCAATTTTCTCACCTTGTTCCTTCTTCAAAATACTTCTAATTGTGCTATAATTTGTTGCAGCATGCCCCATATATGAGTGACACTTGACCCCCTGTATATCTGCAATGTCCTGCGATCGACGTCTCAAGGTTGACCCTTGTTGTAGATCCTTGGATTGGCTTAAGATAAATTTGAAAAATACAGCTAAAGTTTTGATTGCAACTTTATACCTTTATGCTTTATCTTTGGGAGAATTTTAATAACACGTTCGTTACAAACTGGTTTGATTAATTAAAGTTTTGCTTCCCATTTTCCTAAAGACTTAAGCTTTGCATTATTAAATAAAAAGCTTATCGGTTGGTGGCTGTTTCAAACTCAGATGATTAGAGTTTTTAATAGGAAATTCAATTTCTCATGTACATTGGAACAAACTTGCTTACTCAAAATTTGGAGTGATTGTTTGGAGTGATCGTGCTCGTAAAACAACAGGTGATATCGCCTAGAGAATTTTTTGGACGCAATTATTATGAATATCGGTTGTATTAATCACTTCATCTGAGGCTCGGAGTCGTGAAAGACAGGAGAACGCAGAAACGTCTTTTTTTTTTTGCTGAATAAGTTATCTCTAGAGCTACATCTTCTCCATTGGCTATATTTCGTACCATCTCACCAATAACGACTTTTTCATTTGTATGTGGCCCACTTTTTGTATTGTAACAAGAGCCGGTATTTGTTCTTTACTAAATCCAAGCTTACGAAGCGTGCTCGTGCTTGTCAACGATGACGCTGGATTAATAACATGACATTTAACTCTGACATATTTTCTCAACTCATTTTTGTAAAATATGGGGTCAGTTATATTTTACTTTGAGTGATATTTTCAAATGGGTGGAATATTAAAAATAATTTTTTCATGAGAAGAATGGTTTAGAAGAAAAATTGTTGCCAAGATAATAAAGAATTTAACAAGTGAATTTTTTATTCATATGTATTAATTCTTCCCAAATATATTATATATCTGCCCAGAAATAGTTAAAGAATTGCGTAAAAGAAAATGACAGCTAATCGCTTTACTTTTTTAAATTTTTAAAGCAAATCAAAGAAGAAATACAATCGTCAGCCGAGGTGAATTTAGCAAATCAAAACCAATTGAAGATACTTTAAATATTAGGCAATAGTAATAATTAAAGATTTTTATAGTTATAAATGCAATAGAATATAAATCAATTATATTTTTGAATTTATTAATTACTATTATTTTTAGAAAAAAATATAAAAATAAATAAATAAATAATACAATTACTAACTGGTTAACAATAGATTAATAAATTAATAACCATTATTCCAACTACCAAATGTATTTAAAGTCCCTTCATTGTTATGGATATGATTAATATTAAAGTCGATATTATTATTGTTGTTGATATCATTAAAGCCACTTTCGGAGAAAATTACATTCTGATCAGTAAATGTGTGTGGATTTGTAGATAGAAAATCTATTGTATCAGTATGATTTATTGTTGTTGCAGAATTAGATGATGTTAAAGCAGTAAATGAATTATTTATCGTTGAATTATTGATTATGATTGGTTGGAAATGTAAATTAGTGGTGATGTTATTAGAGAATGATGATGGTAGTGGTGGTGGTGGTTGTGTTGGTTGTGTTGGTTGTGTTGGTAAATTATCTTGATAATTTTTATTGAAATCGTTTATTGAAAATGTAAAATTAAAGTTGTTCATATTATCAGGTAGATATGTAGACATATTATTTTTCCTTCTATTAAATTTTCTTCCTCTATTATTATTATTAGTTGTTGCATGCGAATCATATTCATCAGATTTCAACTGTTCTATATTTTTAGATTCTTCTTCTTTTGCTTTAACCAACAAATTTTTCAATGTCACCTCACCATCCAATCTTCCTTCACCACCTGAAAACCTTCTCCTAGCAATTTCCCTAACTTGGACTTTGATTTCTTTTAATCGTTGCACCATACCTGCAGCCTTCTCGTTGCTTTTTTGTGCTTCTGTCCATGATAAAACTCTGATAGCTGGTGTTATTGAAAATAATGCTGAACATGATTGTTCAAAGAAATCTGGTACAGAATTCATCAATACATCAAGCCAATGTAAAAGTATTGTTGCTGCATGAAAACATATTGTTTGTGATGATATTCTAGATTCTTCGTCAATATTGTTAATTGGCATATTTTTGGGGGCATTTGATGTGAACATTGTCAAATTACGACTATGAAGCAGAATAAGTACTGTCCAGAATAAAGTATGCATTTCTCCTAAAAATTTTTTATAAAAAAATTTTAGAAATATAATATATCTCTAACAAATGTCAAAATAATTTACATTTTGAATTACCTCCAATTGAACCTAAAAAACTTCCTTCAACATCATGAGCCATTTCTTCAAATTTCAACCAATTAGGAAGAGTATAAAACCATCTTCCTAACGCAGCATCCAAAAATTTAAATTGATTTTCTTCACGGCGACTACCTGCTATTTTAGTTCGTCCATATAAATACTTGCGAATCTAATTAGCCCAAATAGAAAAATCAACTAATTGATTAAACTTTTCATTTTATCGAATACAAATTTTTTTTAAAGAAAAATTATAATTAATTAATACCTGAGCAAAAATTCTTAATAAATTTATATGCAAGATCCAAGCTATATGTGATCTTGTTTCTTCATCAGGTTCAGGATCTGGTGGTATTGGAAGTAAATCTACATCACAAGTTGCTTCATCTATAGCACTTGGACGACCATAGGTTGCAGAAAGCCACCTAAACATTGAATATTAAAATACAAAGAAATATTAATTCATTATGAAACTGTAAATTATTTAGTTTAGTTAACGGATTCACGCTCCAAATAAAATAATAGAAACATACACTTCGCCAATAAAGCAACCCCAAAATGCCATGTCTCTCATTTCTTTAACTTCAGTATTTTGAACCTGATCATTTTTAATTTTACGATGCAAGCCTAGTTCAAATGACATTTTAGTTGCCATACCATAGAAAATCCAAGCAGATCCCATCTTTTTTTGAAAGGGTAAACAAATATATATTATTTTCAGAATTAAAATAAAATAAATAAAAGTAAATAAGCAATAATTATACCTTTCTTGATTGGAGTCCCAATATGAATAAACTCACAACTGTAAGGACATGAGGAGTTTGTAGACAATAGTTTTGCAATAAAGCTGATTTTTTATTTTTAAAAAAAATATTTTAGATAAATCTAATTAAGATAAAAATTTTTAAATTTTTATATACCTAATGCCTTCTTCTATAAATCAAATAAACAATAAAAAATGATGTTTTTATTGTTATTAAATATATACACACACACATATATATGTATAAATAAATTCATTCATTTATATAATTATTTCTTTTAATAAAAACCTCATAATGCATTCTTCCATCTCGTAACTTTGGGTCTGGATGAAAAGGTGCTGCCGCAAAGAAAATGCTATTAAGCAAAAGAAATTGTTGTGGTGTTGATAAATCATTAAAACAATCAGCTACAACCTTTCTCTTTAGATGTGGAAAATGTCTATATATTCTCTTAAAGAAAATATAGATTATTATTATTATTATTAGCATTATTAGCTTAAAAATAAAATATTTATGTGCTCATATACATAGATAAAAATGTTTGTTTATTTATATAAATATATACACTTACCTGAAAATAAACATTAATTAAACTTTCCGCTGTTTTAGGGTCAGGCAAATATTTTAATGATTGATCAACAGCTGATAAATCATCTTGTTTTTGTGGAATTATTTGTTCTTCACCAGTCTCATTCAACATTAATAATGATCCTGTACCAACATATCTAGTTGACTCATAGATTTTCAAATTATTGTTAAATTGATTTGCAAGTTCTTCTAATTGATCTATATTACTAAATCCATTGTTATCAGAATTGTTTGGATCAATTATGGGAATATACTATAAAATGATATATATGAGGCATACATGAGAAGACAACATATGAAAATATATATAGGACACAAAATTTAATAACAAATTTTCCAAACCTGACTATCTCCTTGAATGGAGGCAGCTAATTGAGAAGTGAATTGTAATGCCTCTTCAGAAAGACTTTGATTTAAACTTGGCTCCATATGAGGGTAAAATCCATTCCAATTCTATATACAATAAATGATTATATGAACTAATTAAACAATTGTTTATGATTTACATTCCTTAAAATAATTGGACTTACAAAATTTCCATTTACATTTAAATTTCCATTTCCATTTAAATAATCATTTTCAATATGTGGAAAAACATCTGCTAGATCATTCCCACCAGAAATCAATATATTATCATTATTATTGTCATTATTAGCATTATCAGGTTTCATTACAGCCATTTCTAATAAATCATTCATTTGATTTAATTGTTGGTATTGTATAGACTGAATATCATCAATTTGATCTTGTAAAATTTCAAGCTTATTTTTTGGACAAGGCCGCTTTGATGATGCTGAAAAGGTATAAGTACAATCTCGTTGAGCTTTACTACAAGTCCCACAAGCTGGTCTTTCTTTGTCACATTTTATTTTACGTTGCTTACAATTGTCACAGGTTTCTATTGGTTTGAAGCGTCTTGGCAACATGTTATGAGTCGGAAATAAGTTAAAGGTGTCGTTGTGTAAGTCAACAGGTGGCAAAGGTGGTGATGGAATTTGAACATGCATGCTTTGTTAATAAAAATTGTGTAATATCTAACTGCTAATTTAAAAAAGGTTAAAAAATTGTTGCACAAAAGATTAATACATGAATTTCCGGATAAATTCCGATCGCAGGAACCTGAAAAGCTACTAAATTTAGAAATTTTATTTATTGTATAAATAACCTAAAAAGCTATTCGGTTGCACGATGTTAAAATCATTTTTGCAATTCCGCAATGAAAAATAAATTTATTTCCATCAGGAGTATTTTGGAAAAAGAACAATGCGAGCACACAAAATCTAATTTCCCACCCATAAACAATTCATATGATTCTCCAACTTTAACCTATCAACTACTTATCATTGTAATTAAAATTATAATTCATAATTTAATAAGCTATCATTACTTAAATTCAATTTAGCTATTACTATTATTACTACTACTATTATTATTACCACCACCACCACCAATATTACTGCTACTTTCATTATGACTCTCAGTTTTTAATTTATTACAAGAAAATGCCCGAAGCTCATTAATAATTGGTCTCTTGGCTGGATCCACATCCTAACACCTTTGCATCATTTGTACATATTCATCAGGCATTCCTGGTAATATTGGTGGACGTAAACCTTCACATATTCTTGATTGCAAACAAAAATCATGCGCTATATCATCAAATAGTGGATGCCCTGCAAATATTTCCCACATTAACATCCCAACACTATAAATATCGGTTTCTTTTGTGTATTTTTTTTTTCTAAATAGTTCTAGTGCAATATATGATATAATTCCATAAATTTGTTACTCTCATGGTGTTGTGGAACTGCCAATAGGATTAAAATTAATGCTTAAAGAATTAATGAAAAATCATATGGTACTATCATTGAGAAAAATGCAATTATCAATGCAATAAAAATTAGATCTTAATGATCCATACTTTTATCAAAAGAAATAGATCTTATCAACTGTTGATAATTGGCAAGCAAATTTAAAATTGAATTAATTGATGTATAGTTAATTATATCATTATATTAATCTAGCCAATATAGATTATTAATAATTAATAATTCGTTACACCCATATATCAGGTTAGATTATATAGAATTATCTTCAAAGAATCCTTTAATTAAAATAAATAATGAAAGTCATAAATTGGCATCAATTTACTATTCTCTCATTGATCACTTGGCCTTCAATATTTTCATACTCTTTGAGCTGGTTCATCTTCTGAAAGTTCGTCATTTTCATTACACAAAGTTGATGCAAATTTACATGCAAAACAACCAGATATTTACTTTTGTGATGACATTCTCAAAGTTGAGCCTGGTGAGTATAGCCAATGTTAAGTAGCTGGAAAATTTTTCTGAGGTGGATTTTATATAACCTTTGTGATCTCTCTGGTATGTTATAGATTCAATTAGAAAGAAAATACATAAATAATCTTGATATTTAAATTTTATTTTATTTGCTCAAACAATCATATAAATATGTATGTTACTAGGTTGGTTGTTAACCAACTTTATATCTCTACCAATGTTTGTGAAACCCCATATTACCACATTAATATGCAAGATTACTACAACAAAATGGTCAATTGGCTACTCAAATTCAAGTTGAAAAAAATGACTGATTGAAAATAAGAAAGTAATTTAAGATCGAGGAAGTATTTTCCTCTATATAAATGAAATTCATTCCAACTATACTTTAGATGAAGTTAAAGAAAATATCCTGGATTTCAATATCTTATTGATGATAATTCAACAATAATAAAAACAGCAGCTACAGTATTACTGAAAAATAAAATTTACATTCTTCCTGATTACAAACATAATCATGGCACTACTGAATCTAATATCTATCATGTTAAAACTACTATTTCTGACTTAAAAGATGAAGATTTTGCCAAAGCTAATGATAAATGTAAAAACAATATTTGGGGCGTGAACATTTATATTACCAAAAATTTCAGGGATCATATTTAATTATTATTATTATTATCACAATTGTATTACCAATGTAAAGTATTTGCTTTTTTGCTTAGGATCACCTTAGATAAAAATAGTTAATATGAAGCTAATTTAAATTAGGTTTACTATGGAACCCAAGAATTATAATATCCAGAAGTATTTTGAAGAAAGAACAAGGTGAAAAATTGCTCCTTATGTTTTCAAAATAAATGATACTCAAACACTTGAAGTTTATCTAAAAAAAGAAAGGGTCACTTATGAAATTTACCAAGAAGAAAGAAAAATAATAAATGTTAGGAAAAGAAAGCAAAATGAAAATGTGCTATTAGCAGAAATCTTTGGAAGAAAAGTAATATGCAATAAATCTTATTGATCTATTTTTTTTACTGACAAAGAAAATTCACCTTATGTAAAAGTAATTAACGTTCATCATATTGCATTGCTTATCAATAAAAAAAAAACATTGTTATTTGAACAAATTCTACATTCAAGAAAAGACTATGTCTATGAATCTTTGTTTTCTCTCATTGATATTGAAACAAGGTAAATATTCCCGTCCTATATTGGAACATTATAAAAACTTCATTGATTCACTTATTTCAGGTAAAAAATCAAATAGCAAATTCTTCAATAATCATTGTTAAACACAATTTTTATTTTGGTTTAAAAAACAAATAATCAGTAAATATTTATAATATTTTCATCCATAATAACATTTTAAAAAAATGCTTACTTTCAATAGTGAACTTTTTTGCGGGTTGTTAATTGGACTCCTTCTTGGTTTCTTGATTCACCATAAAACCTACCAAAATCAATTCTATATTATAAATCAAAAATAATCAATAAAATAGAGCCAAGAAAAAGCCAGCTCAAAAATAAAATAAACAAACTTACTGATGATAAAAAATATTCACAGGAGATTGAAAATCTATGGAAGGATTTCAAACAATTATTCAACAAAAAGATCCAAATTTTTCATTTAGTAGTCAAACATTAAATGATTGGGAAGTGTATTTTCCGAAATTTTCTGGTGATCAACGTCGAAATTCTATTAATAAAATTAGCCACAAACCTTAATTTTAACCTTTTTTTGCTCACCAATCTCCACCAAATTTGAGTCGCAGATTTTTCAAGACTTATTCCTTCTTTTAGAAAAAAATTAAAAAAAATCTTGGTATTAAAGTTTATCAACCAAATTACCGCATTTGGAAATTAATTATCTATTTTTGGTTATGACTCCTGCACAATTTTTTCCTTTTTGTGTATTGATAAATAAATTTAAATTTATCAAAATTTAGTATGTTTTTTTGGAGTTTTTTGTCATTTTCACTAAACTTTAATAAACAACAATCCACATAAAGCTATACCTAAATGAAAACTTACAATATTTTACACCCCTTCAACCACTCATCAAGTTTATAAAGGTAATATTGGTAAAAAATCTTAGCTTTGAAGTAAAAAGTAATGCTGTTTTTGAATAAATACAGATTGACATAGAGAACCTCTATAAATATGGGAGAGCTCTCATTAGAAAGCTATAATGCCATAGTTTTATCTTTGTTTAATAATGATGTTGAATTTGTTATAAAAATAATGAGATATTTTAAAAAACTGATTTGTTACACGAGTCGGATTTTCTATTTTATATATTAATATGTACACTTCCTGTGACATATCATTTGACTTGTGTTTGAAATCGATTAGCCAATCAAAAAAGGAGTTCTGCGTTCAATGTTACAAATATTTGAAGATAAAAAAGTTAAATAATAGTTGCGCAGTTCAACGTTAATTTTTTTATCATTCTATATAATAATAATAATAATAATAATGGATACTGAGATAGCTCGCAAGAATTTTGAATTTTCGAATAATATCATGACAGTTGATCCAGC